CCTCTGGAGGCTCCGTTGAAGTCCTTCGAAAGCTCACTCAAAACCTCCCCCGAATAAGATTTCTTTCTAGGATCAAATTGTAGTTTGACAACTGGGTTGCGACGGCGTGCCATTATTCTCGTCGTCTTCCTTATCCAGGGCTTCTTTTCAATGTTCTTGAGATTTGTGGCATTGGTGCATTTAAAATTTATCTAACGGGAAAATCGTCAGGTTACTTCGAGTCAGCATCGTTCTTTTGTCCTTATGGATTTGATTTGTGTGTCGTATACATGTCCCAAAGGTTCCTCGAACTCTATACAGAACTCTTCCCAATTTTTGTACGACTTCTCCCTGCTCTCATCGGTTCTCTCCGATGTAGGATTTAATGTAAACTTTGTCGCCAACACTAAAGTTCCGGATACTTGGATTGTGACTGCGCTCATCCACCCGCAAAATCTGCGTGAAATCTTACCCATAGTCTTGCAGGCGTAGGCTAATACTGAGGTTCGCATTTCAATGGATTTTTGGCGGCTTGAATACATGATGGACAGTTACGGTATTTATTTTCGATATCTTTGTCCATTGACTGCCAATAAGCATAACTACGAGCCAACAATTTCATTTTAATGATCCCAGGATGACCACTGTGAAACTGCTTGAGAACCTTGTGACGTAATAACACCGAACACAAAACACGAGTCAACAACCATTAGTGAGTCCCTTCGACGAAAATATTGCAAAAGGTCTCCGTCAATGCGATTGTTTGGCCATTTGGTCGAGAGGTAGCATTTAACTGTGCTCAGTATCTTATCACTTTCAATGATCTTCTTGATAATTTCAAAGGTTACTGGGAGTCCATTGATTACGTCATCTAATACGCGATGAACTTCTTCCTCGGCTTTTATATTTGCTACAAGAGTCTCCTCTGGGATTTTTGATTGGGAGCTTATCAATCTTGACAATGCGTCAGCTTGCCCGAAGGCGGTAGTAGACTGATACTTGATCTTGAAGTCGTAACCCAGAAGTGTGGTTGTCCATCGTTCGATTCGGTTAGCTGTATGAACAGGGATTCCTTTCTTTGACCCAAAAATGGCTAGTAATGGTTTGTGGTCAGTTAGTAGTGTGAACTGACGTCCAAATATCATCTTGTGAAATTTCTTTACAGCGAAGATAATCGACGATGCTTCCTTCTCGATCTGACCGTAGTTACGTTCTACTGACGTTAACGATCTAGCTGCATGTGATATTGCCTTCTCAGACCCATTTGGCATGATGTGAGAAATAATTGCTCCAGTGCCGTAGCTTGAAGTGTCTGATGCCACTACAATGAGCAAAGATGGATCGTAATGGGTGAGCAGCAGATACGAGACTAGTACGTACTTGATTTCATCGAAAGCAGCTTGGCAAGTTGCAGACCGATTCCATTTTACATTCTTCGACAGAAGGTTATTCAAGGAAGCACGTAATTGATGAAGGTTTGGAATAAAATCTCCATAATGACTAACTAGTCCCAAAAAAGATCGTAGTGTGGGGACGTCCGTCGGTCTGATTATAGCTTTCACTGCCTGGGTATTCTCCGGATCTGGTCTTCTTCCATTTTTGTCAATTATATACCCAAGGTAGTGTACGTTTTGCATACAGAAGTCACATTTCTCTGGACGAAGTGGAAGCCCATATTAGGATATTCGCGTCAGCACCTGCTTGAGCATCTTTTTTAAGTCTATTCTATCTACTCCCATAATTATTATATCATCTAGATAAGCTGCAGCACCTGGAACATCTTGTAGCATAGCATCCATTATTTGCTGAAATATGGATGGGACCGTCTTAACTTTGAAGGGTAGTCGATTATACCGGAATAGACCTTTGTGTGTGTTTATGGTGAGTAGGGTTTTAGACTAGTCAGCAACAGGGATTTGTAAATAAGCTTCGGATAAATCAAACTTTGCGAAAAGCTTACTTCCGTTCAGTTTAGCAAAAAGATCTTCAGGTAAGGGCAATGGATACTGATTAGTTTCTAAGGCTTCATTCAACCCGGTTGAGTAATCGACACATAAACAAACGCTACCATTAGTCTTCTTTACTACTACTATCAGTGCGGCCCATTCTGAGAAATTCACTGGTTCAATGACACCTAGTTTCTGAAGTCGTTCTAGCTCTTGTTCAACCACTGGGAGAGCAGCATATGGTAGGGGTCTTCTAGGTCGAAAAACGGGAGTAGCTGCAAGCTTTAGAGTTAACAATGCTTTGACCTTCGTGCATTCCCGTAATCTTTCTTTAAATACTTGACTATGTCTTTCGAGAACAACACCCTTCAGATCCTTTTTCGCTGGTTTATTGATTCTCACTGCGCTGCATATGTGGTTAATAGAGTGATTTGCTAATTGCAGTGTTTCTATCAAGTCTAGACCAAGTAAATCTAGTCCTGGTTTCTCTGTGAGGTATAAAGTTGCATTCGTCTTTGCGTTTCCTTTCGAAACTGTACAACAAATCTCTTCAACAATATTTAATTTCCTCCAAGTTCTTAGACTAATAAGTGTGATATTAAAAGCAGTGCCGAGCTGCAGGCGTGCGCGCCTTTTATTTATATCTAAGTTAACATATTTTCGTTGGCGGTGAATTTGTGCTCGTTTATGTGATACTAATATTTTGTTAGTTCGAGCACTATATCTGTATTTCTTCGAGTAGGGTTTCAAAGAATGTCGTTTATAGGTTTTTTTGCTGCAGAAGTTTTCTTTATGTCCCTTCCGATGACATTTGCTACAACAATGTACTTTATAAGGGCAGAACCTTTTGTAGTGTCAGCCTCCACATGCACAACAAGGCGATGATGGTTTGTCACTGTTATTACGATAATTATGCGTACTGGAACCTTGAAAGACTTTCCGCTTGACTGAATTGACGTTATGGAAACAGTTACCGTTTTCTTCCGTTGAGGTAGTTGCCTCTTGCAGGGTCATGTTAGGGCAGTATTCTAGTTTGCTTAGGATTCTGGTTCGGATATCAGCATCGTCGTGTGAGTGCAAGCTACAGATAAATACTAAGCATTTAAACTGATCTTCAGATATGGACGACAATTTGAACCTCTCACATTCTCGGTTCATCGTTCCTGCATGTTCCACCCAGTCATCTCCTGGTTCTTTCGTTAACTTTAAGCACTGATAACGGATATTAAATAGAGATGATTGTTCTCCGAAGATTTGGGACAGGGTTCTAACTGTTTCATCAAAACTAAAATCTCGTGGATTCTTCGGAAGAATGAAGTTGCTATAGTGTTCATGTTCCGTAGTCCCAAGTTTTCTAAGAAGTATTCTGACTTTTGAACAATCATCCAGTTTGCAAAGATCAATATAAAACAAATTTTTATACTTCTTAAACCAAGACTCAAAAGTTACACCTGCTACACCATCAAAATTAAATTCATGGATGGCGTTTATGACTGTATGTGATACTTGTGATTCACTAGCAGAAGGGTCTCTTTGGGACAGGCAGAATTTCTGCATCAGGGTTTCCATGCTTCTGATTTGAGACTCTTCAAACCTTTTTTTGACGCACCATATAGGCTTCTAATTGCGCCAAGGAAATATTCATTGCAGTTTTCTCGTCGCCACTGATAAGTCTTGTCGATTGAACGCTATGTTCGATTCCTAAGCTATTCTGATAACCCGCAAGCTAGAACTACACAGCGATTTGAACACCAGAGAGAAGACGCAAAGTGTGAGAGAAATACTTTACTCCAAGATTCGTTTTCGTACAGAAAATCATGGGTATTTATAAATGTTAGCGTTTGTTAAATCAGCATCATATTTCAGCCAATCCGTTAGTGACACATTATGTTACTGACCAATAGTAGCACGCCACGTTGGAATTCTAGAATGATCCATCGTGCTGTGATTGGCTATGACTTTTCGGCTCCTTTTTGGCCTCTGGAGGCTCCGTTGAAGTTCTCCGAAAGCCGACACAACAATAACCTACGTTACACTTCGCGATTAATATCTAATGTGGATTACCCTTTCGTAGTATCGATGTACCGTGGTTAATTTGACGACTGCATACGATAAATATGAGATCAGTTTAAAAGCGTATTTTCGGCCAGCACCAAGTGTATAAAAAACCGTCATGTCTTTGAATGTCCTCTATCAATTATAGGATAAAAACTTTGAAACGACAAAAAGCATCGAACTTGGGGACATGATTGCTGATTTAAAAGCCTGATAAAGAATTCGAGTTGACGATCGAAACCACGAGCGCACCATGCAAGTTTTCAACGTATGACAAGCGAGTCGCAACACGTATCTTAATATGGTTGTCCATGTATATGTTTCAGTATATTTACCAACTCACCGGAAGTATCATAGCTCTTATAAAAGATAAATAAATCATGATACATCTATTTATGTGTATACGTGAGCCACGGTTCGACACTGTAGAGAGAAGCTATAGAAATACGGTTACTATAGACTATTTTAATGAATATGCTTTTGCCATTATTTACATTTTCTAATTTTTATTTTTTTCTGTAAAACCACTGTTGTTGACCAAATGATTGTACCTATATCAAACGTGAATTTCCATGTACACTTAGCAGGTTTAGTGTATCAACTCCTTTCTCTCGACATGCCGTCATATCAGTTGACTTGTAATAAATCCATTACACGTATTTACAGGTTGTACATGAACATCAATCCAATCATAATTGGGTATCTTGTAGGATAAACTGATTTCTTACTTATTCCCTTCTATAATTACGGCTTTATTTTCGAACTAATGAGTATGAAAGCACTAACAAATTCCAAGTGACCCTTGTGTAATAAGTATCTATTCAGTTTTAAAATGTCTCCTGCTGAATAAAATTGCTATTAAAAAATATTTATTTTAAGGTATGATACATCTTTTTGAAGGAAGGTGGACATTTTTTATATACACTCCGCGGCCGAGTTACTTGGCTCGATTTTTCTCTATAGTCAAAAATAAAAGTACTTTGTACTTTACATTTGTTTAAACGTTTCTATTTGACCTTCAATTACACATCTACATTCGGTCCAACATTTAACTTATTTCATCTTGGGTCGCTCAATTTGCAATGAGTGTTCGTCGGATAAGTAAAAAGTTCAGTGTCCAGTCTGTGGAGGCCTCAGAACTGAAAGGTGCGAAGTTGTCACTCTTAGGAGAGTCTACTGAGGCATATGGTAAGTTTGGACTGCAATAGTTCACCGTCGGCTTAAATAACTTGTCTTACTTGATTATTTAAAAACAATTTATTTATTGAAATTTTCTTCAGTCTTTGTGTGGCGAAATCCTAACGACATAAGTTTGTTGTAATAGCTCGAGAATATAATTTGTACACGGATTGATATAAGAGTAACATGATGTATCTTACTTGTTGACTTAGGTCTTATAGAACAGACCAAAAACGAAAATTAATTTTATTCTTATTTTATATCATTTGAGTTTTTTATCTTTCTAACCCTGTGTGAGACCATTGCAAGATTTATTTTCTCAACATTTTGAAGCGTGAAAAAACAATTTTACACCAGTAAATAGTAAATCACACTGAATTTCTTTTTGGAATAGATTTGGTTGCTGCTGTGTCTAAATAAACGCTTTTTGCGTAATGCACTCGAGTACCACAGATTACTTATCATTCGTTTATTCTCTAGAGAATTCATAGCTTGAAGAGAGTGGAAAACAAATATTAGATTATTGATTTAGATTGGGATTTTTTATTATTCCAAACTTGTGAGTTTTAAGTTGCACCGACAGATGACAATGTTTTTCCTGATCAAACTTTATGTTCATTTGCTTACTAGCTTATCCTTCCAACAAAATTTTCTGGCTATTCATTTGTTTCTTCTGTTAAAAACCAAGTCTTTCTTATGTAAAACGCCACTCGTCACTTCTAAATCTTAGATTCAGAACCTTTTTATTACTAACATTGAAGGAATAATTAGAAATGAGTTACTCTTGAGCGTGACTTCATTGCTAAAGAAGTGTTGAATAGTTTCTGTAGATTGTTGCTCATGGACACATTTTTTAGATGGTTCAATTCTTTCCTTTAAATAATATATTTTTTTCAACTTTGGGACTTTTACTTTCAAAAAAATTTCCTGGGCAGAATAATAACAGCAAAAGATGTTGTATATTTTAATTACTAAACTAAACTTTAACATGTGGAATTCTGTATGACTTGCGATCAATAAGAAAGGCTGATTAGATGATTTAAAAGGTAACGAAAAATAGCCTGAAACTAGAATCATAAAATATTCCTGTATGGTGTTCTTGATTTTGTTGGTTTATTATAACACGATCGGCGAGACTATAATTTACGGACAACCTTTAAGAGGCGCCAGAGTGACCTCGAGAGTGTCCACCTAATAACTGGGACCAAATGAAGCTTATAAACCAGTGTGAGGAATTAGACTTTGATTTACAGTCGATGGTTAAGGTTAGGAATTAGATTTAGGATTTTGACCACGGATTGACATCAGCTATAATGCCAAAATCCTATTTAGTCAAATAGGTAAATGAATTTCGCGCCGAGATCCGCGACCTGTTATCTTATACTAGATTGGTTCGTCCACATATTGTATTCTCGTCACACGGTCTAATTTACCAGCAAATGCTTCAAATTCCCTATCAATACTTTATTTTGCACTCGAAGAATACAAGATCAAGTGTTTATGAGATTTCAAGACGTATAGTCATATTTCGACAATAAATTCAATTCGTTTGTAAACGTAAAGACTCATGTTAAATAGTGACCAATATGTGTTGTTAAAATGATTTTTAGGTGTTTTATTGTCCTAGATGTTTATATCGAGTTTCATAGTTGTCATCTGTTAGCGAATTTTGCATTTATCCCAGAGTGACATTCTGAAATCCGATACCATTTTCTAACTCGTTTTTAACTATCGTTTTATGTTCTTTGTCTAAAAATCCCAAATTAGCTTTTAGGGCCATTTGAACATCGTCATAATACGTATCAAAAACTAAAGCTTAGTTTTGTATTAAACTGAGCGAACTCGATCGTGGTCATATAATTATCAAGGTAAATTTTTCCGAAAAACTTCTAATCAAAATAAGTTTACAGGGACATTTGAAAATAGGATTATAAAAATTGGATTAAAGTAAATCTGTTTAATTTTGTCTAGCTAACTGCAACGTCGTACAGTTTTTACTACTTGATTTTTCCACTTCGTTTTCTAACAAATATCATATTTCTTCAAATTTAGCTGGTATTCCGACGGAAGTTGTTGATGAGGATATCGAAGCTGAAGATGAAGACAATACACAACTCAATCTTTTCGAGGTAATACGGTGTATTTCTATGATTTACAAGATTCGGTTTGTCATGATAGCTATATCATGTTTCTTTCAACATTAATTTGTTGCCTATAGCTCTTTAAATTTCATATTTGATTAATTTAAGGTTATTAGATTAGGATCTGAAAAAGTCACTGAAATTAGTAATGATCAGTTGTTTTAAAAATTTACCAATATGATTGAAAACGTATTTTAAGTGTTTTAAATATATCTATTTTTCGAACATTTCTGCCCCTAATTTAGTTTGCGAAATACATGCTTAGTGTCTGTAAGCATTCTATGTGTTTCATGTTTCTTTTGGCAGTCATCTTAATACAATTTTGACTACCTTAAATATATTTTGGTGACCAATTATTTCTGTATTTTCTGACATATGACTATTTCTTGTATAGCCTAGGAAGGAACGTGCAATCAATGTTTTTATGAACTAAAATACTTTGCAAGGAAAATTGTCTAAGTGTATTATTGTTTCTTATTCTTAAATAATTTGGTTTTTGTCTACTGTAGGAAGATGATAAGACATTACCTCCGATGAGCAACTGGTTTGGTAAGCTCGCGGCTTACACTGGTGGAATAGAGCCAACTGTAGGCGAAACTAAACAACTGAAAGAAAAACAAACGAAGTCAAATGATGTAAGTTGATTTTTTGGGTGTTTTATGATGAGTATGAATCCATATTTTTAATTTCCGTGCTTCTGCTTGGCAGATTTAGAAAATCAGATCGCTAAAGCTTTATTTACCAGTTAACATTAAATATGAAGTTTAATGGCTTCTTTATCGATGTCTGCCACTTTAGTTACACATTAACGCCCCCCCCCCCATTCAGCGGTCAGTCTGTAATTGATAGTTGAACACATTGGTTTGCAGAGGAAAATGGTTTCTTGGACCCCACAAAGAAACGTTTCTGTTTCTATATGTGAGTCACAAGAACTATAGTCAGGGATATTTGAGTGTCGAGGTGTGTACCATAATAAATGAGACTGATAACCGAAACTGTAATTCAATTAATATGTGAAGCGTTATATAACTGCGATAAATCGAAGTTTTATAACTATGCATTGCTCCAGGTAGCTAATTCATATATTGAGGATTTAACAGTTGCGTAGAAGTATTCAGGCTAGGGAACAGAAGAACCTTATAACATTAATAGGTGGTGGATTACGTACAAGCATATCTAATATTTATCTGATTGTAAATAACTGACATTATTCTCTATCGCAACTCACATGTACTTTCTTTGATTTTATTTATCACTTATTACTGCTTCCGAAATATTTATCGTCACTTTGGTTATGTTCTTTTTACTTTACTTTGATAAGTATCTCATCATAAAACCGTTAAATCACTGTCTTCCTTTGTTTTTCCGTCCCAACAGTTTTTTTGTACATATGTAAAAGTAAAAGCCTCAGATATTTGTATTTGTAGTGAAGTTTCTGTACAAGCTTGTAGTACGGAATTAGGTTCTCAATTACATTGCTAACGATTTGTAAAATTCAGTTGTAGGCCAAAAGCATACATACTTAACATTAACTTATGGAATTCAGTTTATTTCAGGCATTTACTGTTTTACTGGCTGCAACGTCATGTAATCTCAATTATTTACACTCTGGAATTAATCATTGAGTAACTGTTGCGCTGTGGGCTCTTTGAACCAATAAAGCAACATTGCTTACCGACAGAAAGCAACAAGTCTATTGTCTATATTTGCTAACGTTTGATTTTAGGCGTCATCATATAGGCATTCATTTGTGACAGAGTCATTAAGTAATGAATGTTTTCATCTCCATGACAAACAAAGTTTCTTTAATTTATGTATTGACCTTAGTAAGCTATGTCTACAAGTATGAAAACAAGGCTCAGAGATTTCTGTTTACTCCTATCAACATTTCATGAAAAATCTCAGCTATTCATGATATTTCTTTAAATAGCGTTTGAAATAATTACCCTGCTTTTTCGCTTTCATCTCGAACTAATTTAATACTTTAATGACTGTGTCTTTGGTCGATAGACCTGTTTCATTTGGCTCAATACATAACATTTTCCGTATAACATTAATGAAGTACAGAATATTTTTATTACCATATTTATTTTTTGTATATATCTTTTGTTTTGTTTCTTAAAGAACAAACGTTTGGGGACTATATTGGGTGTGTTTCTACCATGCTGTCAAAATATATTTGGCATCCTATTATTTGTTCGAGTTGGGTGGATTACAGGCGTAGCAGGCGCGTTTCAAACGTTTCTGATAGTGTTTCTGTGTTGTAGCTGCGTAAGTTCAATCTTCTGATGCAATTTAGACGGTGTTATAATTTAGTTGAACTTAGTCAGTTGATAAATATACTTGATGAAAGTAGTATGTTTATCTCACACATGTATTACCGGATGGTATGAGTAGATTCATTTTAAACTTCTCGCACTATGTTTCAGGAAATACATTGTTTTGAACTAGTCGATATATCCCTGCCAGAAGTTTGCACAATAGATAGGTGCTATATAATGCCTGTTAGTATCTTTTATAAATCCTCATCCTTGCATAGTTTTTATTGATTAGAATTCATCTTTATGTCGACTTCATGTTTATTGGAAGCGCTAGGTTGCCTGAACATAAGTGGTCATAAGTAAGTAAATTGGGACGTATAACACGTTGAAAAAACTATCTGCAGTGAATATTGATGGATACCAATTTATAAGGAAAACCAGTCTAGGTGTTTATAACTGTATGTTTATTATCATATCATTTTTGATATTTTGCGACGATATTGTTTTTGCAAATAGCAATCCATCATAGTAACAATAGAACATGGCATTATACTATATGCCCAAGTTAGATTTTTATAATTTATTGCTACTATGTATTTCATAAAGTTTTGTTTAGCTACACACTATTCTATGATATTACTGTTCATTAATATGTGACAAAAACTATCCATGGTTAAGTAAATTAAACCTTCTTTGCTAAGATATACTATAGTGTATGAAATCCAACGTTAACTATTTATTCTTAAAGCATCGATGAACAGTTTATTCTTCGCTACCATGCTATTCCTCTCCAAAATATTTCTCTATTATAGTTAAAATAATCACTTACTTCATCTCAATACCTTTCTTTTTTTACCATCACCCTACAATTTCTGTTTATTTTTCGTTATCAAGGAAAAAATGTAGCTCTCTAAGTTAAAATTTACAGAAATTTGTGCGTAGTTACTCCTTATGTTCCTGTTTAGTAATCCTTCTTTTTGAAGAAAGAATTCTTTTATACCATCACTTTATTTAAATGTTTTCTCTTTAAATGTATGTCATGACTTTTTTTATTGTAAATTTTTTATTTGTATAAAATTCTGTAGGAGAAACAAATACAAATGAGGTTGTTCAACTTTTTCATTTCGAAGAGAGAAACAAAAACGAGAATGCACAAAAATTACACTTAAGTTATATAAAGATTACACTGATACTTAATTAATGACTCTCAAAGTCTTGTTATTCAATATCTTTATGTTTTGTTCTCCTTTGAAAAGTCTTTTTGAAGTTTTCATTAAGGATTATCATCAAAGTCGATACCAACAGCTTACTTTAAGAAATGTGTAGATAAATAGGGATACAATCATCTATACAAGTTATATATGTCCTTATGAATTAATTTTAAGATATTTTATGTTATTTTCACATAATTCCTTACTCCTTCTCTAAGTTTTCATAAGATCCTTTTTTTATTCTCAACGGTCAATCTTTCATTTGTTTCTTCTCCTTTCTGCCTTAACCCTTTTCAGATCTCTTTTTTCTAGAAACTAGTAGCACATGCATTTTTATTTAATTTAAATTCAAGTATTATAAACCGTTGTTGTTGATTAGTCTTTGTTCTATTTTTTGTTGTTAAAATTTCATGATAACGTTTTCTCATTTATTTGATCAGCCTAACCTTTTTCGTTTGAGTTTTATGCATGAAATGAAGCGAGCGAAAGTTTTAATTTAATCAATATTCATTGCAATACTGATGTCCGTTTAAACAAGACAACATTGATCATTAGGATAATTATCAATCAAACGATACCATATTCTTTTCTTATCCATTAATTAAAGAGAGAAAGTATTTGGTTAAAAATAGCTATATATATATATAACGTAGAACTTGGTACAGAAGTACATCTGTTCGAGTTAGCTTACCCTATTAACACAGTGAAATGAAATTTTCAGGGCAGATCCCAGAGTGGTAGAGGTAGTAGTATTCATAGTAGTAATAATAGAGATTACACATCGAAGACACAACCTGAAAATAAAATACGAATTCGTGAAATGAAGTTTTTTATTTTTCAGATGTTATCAAATGATATCTGAAAAATAAAAATAAAAATTATGAGACTAGAATCGTAAATGGTGACACGAAATATGATTAATAAAAAAACTACTAAAGTTTGTTATTTCCGTCTTAAACTTCATAATTCCTAGACTAAAATTTCTTGTTCTATACAATCTACTTTTTATTAATAAAACTAATGCATATAAGTATTGTACTATGCTACTGATGAAGTGACATTATACGGGTTTTTAGTATGAAATATTGAATGTAGAAAAGTTACCAGGTGTTTGGTGGTTCAATGTCATCATCTATTATAAATCAAAAATATACCTAATTAGTGCATGATTTAAACGACAATTTGTTTATAGTGTATATTATTACATAATATATTCCCAGCTTGTGCATTTATCATGATATATATGAGTCGTTCGGTTGTTTATTTGTCAACAAACATCATTTTCAATGGTACTGGTCTCTAAATATAATTATTTTGTCATAATGTTACACTTTCAAAACCATATTAAATGGAATGTCGCTGGTGTTATAGTGTTTATACTCACTCTTATTGTTATATCGAAGTGTTTATACTATTGAGCCACATATACTAATAACGATCAGTTAGATAATATGAAAGCTAATGCGCCAATATCTTTAAATTAAACCAAGTAATTTTATAAGGATTTTTCAAAGACTGATGGTATGATAGTTTTAAGATACTTAGACTGTTAAAACTTCTAAAGGTATAAATTTGAATAAGTAATGTGAGTTAACAGTATTGTTTATAATTAGGTCTTAGTCATTCCCTGCCCTAGTATACAATAATATTTTTATGTATATGTGGAAAATATTAGGACCAATCACGACAACTTGTAAGTCAATGTGCTTCATATATTTATTATGATTAGTTGTGTACTGTATGTCATTGTTATCAGTGACTCACAAGTTCCCTTGATTGGTTTAATACTTCTCTCGTATGCATAAAAATATGGTTGTTTTACCTAAATTCCTAACATAGGAAACTATAAGTGGTTTTTTCAATAACATTATGGAATGAATACTGATTTCCATATTTAACGGTGAAGTCTCGCCAAGTATTTAATAGCTAATAAGTAGCGTAAAGCACTATTTTTCCTTTCATTGACTTTTGATCTATCTTCTGATTACCCTTACCTATTTAAACAAACTTCAACAATCTCTGTGACTTTGGTTCACTTTCTTTTCTCTATTGTACGTGTTCTGTGAGTAGGCTTTCAACGCCTATTTTAGAATAAACCTGAATTTTTTTTAGAAAAAATTACATTGTTTTCCATTAGGGAAAAAACAACTTTTCATGAGACTTAGCATGCTGTTCAATCAGATGCACTTCAAGAGAGCTTGATTACATGCGTACTTGTAGTGTCGATTGCTATGTTTAGCTCATATAACTTATTCTAGCTTCTGGACAGGCCAGTTTATCTATTCTTCTTGATTCACGTTTTGACCTTGTTAATTATTTGCTTATCAACCTTGACTGTTTTTATATGAGCATATGTGTGTACACTTCTCATCCTACTCATCACATATCTGTAGCTTATTTCTGTCTGACTATAAATATCGGATAACGATTGCTTCGATGGAGTTGGCTAACACACCTTCTCCACTGCGTCATTTCGCTTCGTCCCTCTGATTGCCTGTCCACATCAGTGAGTATATAAAATACATGTATTCAAAAATTCTTTTTCGTATTCGAATTATTCGATTCTGTTTTTCACCAATGTGACTTAAGTCGATGAAATATACGAGAATAGCCGATATGTGTATTTCGATGACAATCAGTATACGATCCAATTGGAGTCAGATATAGGGCAACTAAATACTCATGAAATATATACTGAATGCATATTTTTCAAAAGATTACTTTTGAAGTTGTGGAGGTGCTTGAATCAAAATGTGTAGGTAGAAAAATCAAGTTAGATGAGTAAGAATATTTATTGTATAATTTGTTGATTTTTTAAACCGTATTCAATCACATGAGAATAGATCTATATCTGTTAGTAAATGTATTACTGTGATAACAAGATACACTTTGGTCATAATGAGAGAAACTCAAAAAATACCGTCAGTTTGAACTTATTTATAAACAGGTTGAAATTACCGACAAAATCGATATGGTTTTACAGAAAATCATTGTTCGTATCGATTAACATATCATAGATTTTTATTCCATCCCAAATATTGGTTGTACGTTATATTTGGCGAGTGCGTTACTTCGTTTACGCGTTAATGTATTCATGCGATGAATACGATGGAAATATTAGCTAATTCTTAAGGAATAAATTCAGACAGGACAGATCATTCTTTTAAGAGGTTTCTTTTTAAATTATTCGTGAGGATAGTGTATCAAGACACCACAAAACGACTATTCATTAACTAGCTATTATCATTAATTATTGTTGACTTTTGCAGAGCTAACGTTTTTGTATACAGAAATCTGTTCACAGTAGCGTTACTGAAAATGATTTCTTTGGTAAACAATTGAGCTATTAAAAAAATGAACATTTTTAAACAAACACAATCCTTTCCTCTAACTGGAATAAAACTGAATTGGATAACAAATTATTATCAATAAACAATAATCTAACATTTTACTTTTGAATATTTTTTGAAAACAATTCTGTTGCAAAGTCAGTCATGTATCGCCTTGAGTCAGAATTTTGATTATAAATAACAATCCAAAGTTGCGCCTATATTTTGAATTTAAAGACACGAATATTTTTTATGAATGGAAAAACATGACAGTATAACTTCTTGCCATATTTTGTAGCCGAAGATAGCTATTGCAGGAACACAAGTTATAGCGACCTGATAAAAATTGATTTGCTACAAGCCAGAATATAATATTCAATCAACCCTTGAACACCATAGTTTGCTTTCGCTTACGGATAATCTCCACAGTATTACCATGTTTTTATTCTATTTCACCTTAGGTAAACGAA